CATGGAGATCAGGAGGGCAGGATGCAGCCCATGAAGATCAGGGAGGCAGGATGCAGCCCATTTCTTTGCTGATGTTCCTCTGTTTTCGTGCAGATACTGCCTGTCCCCGGGGGTATGCGAGGATGAAGGGGGTCACCTGTGAAGGTAAAGTGCTGCAGGATGCAGAAAACTTTTTTTTTTTTTTTTTTTTGGAAGGTGGTCATTGTTTATTTGTTGCTATTCTGCATCTTTGAGTCTGGTGGGGGACCTCCTCTTTCTGACCCTTTGCTGGACTCTCTCCAGTATGTCCGTGTCCCTCTCGTACGGAGGAGCCCAGAACTGGACACAGTGCTCGTGTCTGGAATTGGGTTTCCAGGTTTAGCGGCTCCACCAGCACTGCTCATGTTTGTGAGTCCTGGTGCCACTCTGTCAATGGACATGTGCAACAGGACCACCCTGTCTGTCCGTCTGTCTCTGACAGCTTTGTGATGCAGCCTTCTGGCAAAAGCATCCCGGCATGGCTGTGGTGTGCACAGAGCGTGTGTTTGTCATTGCGACAAGTTGCCAGTGTTAGTCTGGTGGCATCTCTGGGCTCCTTCTGCCTCCTCCTCAAGGTCCTGGGCTTGGCCGCGTGCTGCTCTCATGCCCGGCTCTTGCTTTTGTGCCAACAGATGTGAACGAGTGCGAGGTCTTCCCCGGCGTCTGCCCAAACGGGCGCTGCGTGAACACGGCTGGCTCCTTCCGCTGCGAGTGTCCGGAGGGACTGACCCTGGACGGCACGGCTAGGACGTGTGTGGGTAAGGACACCCCATCTCCCCCAGACTGGTCAGAGGTCCACCCATGTGCAGCAGGCTTGGGGACGGATTGATGGCACATCATCCCTGGTAAGGGCTGCCAAACCCAGCAGCCTCACCGAGCTGCATGTCCCCAGGTCCAGACAGTAATGTGATCGTTCTTGATGGACTTCGGGGACAGCCAAATGAATAACCTCAACTGGTTAATGACATGGCCCTAAAACAACTCCTGGCTGCTTTCTGTCACAGTGACAAACCTTTGCCCTTCACAGGGACCATCTGCACTGCTGGCTGCACCATGGAGGGTCCATTCTCTGACCCTGTGGCCAACAGGCTGGCCATGGCCAGGCTCTTACATCCTAGCATCCCAAACCACGTGGCCTCATCCATGCTTGGCCATTGTTTGGAGGATGCCCCAGCCAAAGCCATTCCAGAAACCTTGCTAACTATATCACAGAAAAGGATATCTCAGGTTTTAACAGAGGTTAGATGCTGCAGACATGGGCTCAGCTCTTCTCTCTCGCCAGACGTGCGCGTGGAGCAGTGCTACATGAAGTGGGATGAGGATGAGTGCACGGAACCTCTCCCGGGCAAGTACCGGATCGACATGTGCTGCTGTTCCGTGGGCTCAGCCTGGGGCATCGATTGTGAAGAATGTCCCAAGGTCGGCTCCAGCGAGTACAAGGCCATCTGCCCGCGGGGACCCGGCTTCGCCAACCGAGGAGACGTGCTTTCAGGAAGACCCTTCTACAAAGGTGAGAAGAAAGAGGGGAGGTGCTGATCGTGGGCTGTGCATAGCCCAGGGAGCCTGCTGCCAGCCCCGGGACCCCGGGTTCATCGCAGACATCCCCTCCCTGAAACCCTGCTGTCCTGCCTTCACCCGCAGATGTGAACGAATGTAAGGTCTTCTCTGGCCTGTGCACCCATGGGACCTGTCGAAACACCATCGGCAGCTTCAGGTGTATCTGTGGCAACGGCTTTGCTCTGGATGCTGAGGAAAGGAACTGCACAGGTAAGGGAAGAACCCCCTCTCTGGAGGGCTGTTGCCCATCTTGGGGGATGCTCAGCGTGATGGTGGGACCTGGAGGAGTTATCTTGGGGACATGTTGAGGAACCAAAGGCAAGACCATGAGCAGAAGGCTCCTCCTGCTCCTGGGATGAAGGATCAGTCCTGCAGCAGAGAGAAAGTCTAGGGGCTGTCTCTCCCTTCAGGAAAAGGCGTTCCTTGGTCTGCCGGGTCAGACTTGCTGGTCCTTGTTTGTTGCATTTGATGCGCAGTGCGGGCATCCCAGTGCCCGTAGAGGTGCTGGTGGTCTGTCCTGCCTGCGCTAGCTGCTCTCCATCCCCGCAGACATCGACGAGTGCCGCATCTCGCCAGACCTGTGTGGCCACGGCACCTGCGTCAACACGCCGGGCAGCTTCGAGTGCGAGTGCTTCGAGGGCTACGAGAGCGGCTTCATGATGATGAAGAACTGCATGGGTAAGGACGTGGCGCCGGCGCAGGGCAGGACCCTTCATTTTTTTTGCAACATGGAAGAAAGTACTTGATGCTGGGTCTGGCACAGGGCTTCGTGCCCAGCTGCTCTCTGTGTGTCTCGCTGTCTGGCTCCCTGTCTGTCTGTCTCTCTCTGACCCCTGGTATCAAGCCAAACCTCTTCATTGCCCTCTGGGGGAGTTGTGGGGGGTCCCTGTGCTGCAGAGAGCCCTGGCAGCCGCTGCTCTCCCCAGGGCAGTGACTATTCTGCCTTATTTTGATGGCGAGGGCAGAGCTGGGCTGAAAGGCAGCGTGTGTAGCGAGAGGGATGCTGGGTGTGTGGCTGGGAGCACCATAGATGGAAGCCTGGGAGGACAGCAAAGCATATGCAAAGTGAGTCAGGGGTTCATGAGACACAGCATGAGCTGAGGGACATGTGTCCCCAGCACGGCTTGGCTTGAGCCCCAGAGCCCTCCAGAGGAGAGCAAAGAGACAGAACTATAGCTGCTGCCTCCTGCATGGATGCTGTGCCATACGTGGGCGATGGTCCATCAGAGATGGCCTGGTGCAGGCTCTGCTGTCTCTAGCAGCATCCCAGGGCTCGTGTGATGCAGAGCAAGGACAGACTGTGAAAAGGTTGCCAGACTTGGGACCAAAATTAGGCACCTTCCCTCAGAGACATCTTTTTATGAGAACCTCCCGGATCAGAGGCCAGAGCCTGGTGGTGCCCCCTGAGCTGGGGAAGGAGCCCGGTGGCCCAGGCTGGCACCAGGGAGGACTCTGGGTGTCCAGCCTGGGCTCTTCCTGCAGTGACACTCATGGGACATCGTTGGTCCTGCCCTGCCACCTCCTGGCCACCGTTACCTCAGCTGGGGGAGCCCACAGGGGAGCCCATGGGGCCACCAACCA